TTTTGGGGGGGGGGGTGGAGTCTCACTCCATCGCCCAGACTGGAGTGCAGTAACATGCTCCCAGCCACCACAGCCTCGGCCTACTGGGCTTCCGGCGATCCTTCTGCCTCAGCCTTCCAAGTAGCTGAAACTAAGTGGCGTGCTACCACACCCTGCTAATTTTTTTTTTATTTATTGTAGAGACAAGGTCTTGCCAAGTTGCCCGGGTAGGTCTCGAACCTGCAGGCTCAGGCAATCCACTCACCTCAGCCTCCCAACGTGCTGGGATTATAGGCTGAGCCACTGAGTCCGACCTAGAATGTCTCTTAAAGCTGAGTTTTTGCTTCTGGAATATCACTGTGAACGGCTCTTAGAAGTATCATACAGTGCCCTCTATAATAAGAATTGGACAAAGGATAGAGTACAAAAGAACAGAAGCTTTAAATGGGTTCAAATAAACCTTCCTTCTCCACCTAGAATTGTAGAATTGTTATGTTTCTTCTTGATGGAACTCGCCCTGTGCCCTCCTCAAGAAGCTCTTGTGCCTTTTTATGTTAATGTGAGTTAAACTGGCACACCCTGCAAAGTTAAACAGAAGACCACACTGTAACTCAGTGCAGAAAATAAAAAGAAAAGAAAAAGTCATCTCTTAGAAATAATGTGGTTAAAAATTACCTCCCTGTTTCTAGCACACAGGAAAAGCATTTTGGAGGATTTAACTTCTAAATTTAAGATTCTGCAAAACTTGTATACCAAAGGATATATTTCCTTTCAGACAGTTGTAAGGAAAGAAGGAAGATATCTACATTTCCCCAATTCATTTTGCCTGTTAAGTTATGGTAAAACAGTTCTGGTTTGGGCTTTAGAGAAAAATATATTAATTAAAACTACTCAGTTTAAAGTGGTGGAACCTAACGATAGGAATCAGTTACCAAAAAAGGGCTTTTACTTTATTTTTGTTTGTAAAGTAAGCTCCTAATGTCTTTAAACACAGCGCCAAGTCAGTAATCTTTATTGTGGCAGGATGGCTAGATGATGAAGCGGATTTCCAAGGATGTTGAGGGACTAGGGCTTAAGAATCGAAGGTGGTGCAGTTCTTCCTGACTCTCAGGGTCCAGACGGGCAGTTTTCAGTAATTAAAAACACACATTCTCCTCCTTTCTTTTTGAAGACCCCTAATTCTGTTGACCTTGGCCTACTGCTGGATTGTTTCTCTCAGGCTTTGCATGTTGCCCACATTTGTCTCATGCCCTTAAGCATGGTGCATGGCAAACCTCTCTGTGCAGTGTGCTGGTGCACTGAGCAGATGGCAGAGCAGCCACGCCCAATAGCCAGTGAGCAGAGCTAGCAGGCAGGCTTGGAAACGAGCTCCTTTTTATTCTTCTCATGTGTTTTTGTGGGGGTTTTGTCTGATGCCTTTATTAATATTGTTTTTCTTTTTTCCCTTTCTCTGATAAATTCCTTTAACTTTCCCTCACCTTCCGTTCGACAATAGCCATGGAGGGTAAGCACATCGTGTCTTTGTGTGTCTGTCCAGCTCTCTTTATCACACCCAGCTCTCTGCATGTGACTCTGGACCAGAAAACAGGACACCCAGTGGGAGGGCACTTCTGTTTGGTTCATCTCCTCTCATCACTGACAGATGCCAAAGACGGCGTTTATATTTGCCAAAGAATGAGACATGAACATCTTTGCAGTGAAAGAATTATTCTTGTCCTTTTCTATCTCATACCCAGACTTTGGAACAACCAAGAAGATAATTAACCTGATGCATACTACTTGGGCAAAGGTACCCAAGGGTTCAGGAATGAGCACTTACCATTTCACACTGAGTGCTGGCAGCAGGTCCAAGATTTAACAACTGTTACACACTGCAATTTAGTCTTTAAAAATGCATATATACACATACACAGTGTCCTTTTTGTGCCTAGTATAAATCTATCCAATTTGAATTTATAAATATTGCTGAAGATTTCCTGAAGTCCCTCATGTTATTCCACCTTCAGCGCTCAGATTATCTTGGGTAAATTTGTTGGTGTCTCCTCTGTGCCCAGGCCCTGAGTGGGCATTTTTACATCTGTGACTGTTTCTCCTCATTGGGATTGCACAGTGAGGGAGCTGAGGCTTGTAGGCATGGGTCCAGGTGTGCTCCAGCAGTGAGCATAGAGCTGGCTAAAGCCGGGACTCCAACAAGGAGGCTTCTGCACCACCACTGTTTTAACTGTGGTTTCGCTCTGCAAGCAGATGCTGTCCACTCAAAACACTCATGTGTCAGCTTTTTAGAATCATGAAAAGAACACAGGTTTCCATTAGGTGGTTTGAAGGCAGCTAAGCCAAACCATACAATTTTTACTGCAGAATTCAAAGTGGAAATTCTTAGAGCCTTAATATAGAAGGTTTGACTATTTAGCCAAGTAAGTAACTTTCTCTAAAATTCAGTAAATCCTCAGGAAGGATTATTCTCTTGTGGTGAATGATTTTTGGTGGGGGGACATTGAATCACATCTCTGAAAGAATCTGGGCTTTTTAGTGTAGTGTGTACGATTGCATCTCATTTTCTTTAACTGAGCTCAAAGTTAGAAAAAATTATTGCCTTATTTGTCACTGGGAGGAATTACTTTGCTTGGAGGGATTACTTTACTGTCATTCTCAATCTGAACTATATCCCGTACAAACAAGAAAATCAATTATCTTAAGTGATCTGCTTTGATCTCTTTTAAAGACCCTAACTTGATTGTGATGATATCGCGCCATCTACTGGAGAGTAGAAAAATGACCGACTTCTGTGTTGTCAGCTTCAGCCCCAGGAAATCAGTCCCCCTCCTACTGCCAACCTGGACCGGTCCAATGACAAGGTGTATGAAAACGTGACAGGCCTGGTGAAAGCTGTTATTGAGATGTCCAGTAAAATCCAGCCAGCCCCGCCAGAGGAATATGTTCCTATGGTGAAGGTAAGGTACAATCACTTTGTGTACCAGGAGAAATGTTCTTGTTTCCTGAAAGCTATGGTACCCACTGATAGTGTCTCTAGTAATCCCAGCACCTTGGGAGGCGGAGGTGAGAGGATTGCCTGAGTTCAGGGGTTTGAGACCAACCTGGGTAACTTGAGACCTCATCTCTACAATAAATCAAAAAATAAACCGGGCATAGTAGTGCGCACCTGTAGTTCCAGCTACTTGGAAGGCTTGAGGTGGAAAGATTGCCTGAGCCCAACAGGTCAGGGCCGTGGTGGCCATGAGTGTGCCACTGCACTCTAGCCTGGGTAACAGAGTGAGACTCTGACTCAAAAAAGAAAAAATAAATAACTGAAAGCCAATAGCTTTCAGAATTTTCCACATATTAGGATTTTGTATGGTGATTTTATAGATTGCTACTTTTTAACCATATCGCATTGACAAATGACACTTTTGGTATGCTGATCCAAGTATAAGTAACTGTCATTTTCTTACAGGTTTGTTTTGTATTATATGTATAATTTGATGTCTTAGTCATTATGTATTTACAGATTCTCATAAGAATGACAATTAGAAAAAAATTGAAATATAAAATAATGTTTTTAATTATAGTTAGACTTTTCCTTACAACTCAGAAGTGGCAGGAGAGGAATGTTTTCGCTCAATGCTCATAATAGATTAAGCATAAGATTCAGAATGGGGTCCAGAGCAAAGCTGCCCCGTTGCTCCTAGGGCCATGGTGTCATCTTTTTTGTCATCTTTTGGCATTATGAGGCCTCTGGAGGCAAGTACCTGGGAGAGAAAACATAGTTAGTGAATACATTTAAGGAAAGGCGTTGCCATGTATTCTAACATGTGTTGGCAGAGTTGACATCTTGAAACCAGGAGGACGATAAAATCTTGGAGGTAATAGATAGAGAAGAAAAAGTCCTACTTTCCACCCCTGACATGTGTGTGACTTTTTTTTTTCTTTCTTTTGAGTCAGGGTCTTACTCCGTTACCCAGACTGGCAGTGGTTGATCACAGCCTTGAACTCTTGGGCTCAAGTAATCCTCCCACCTCAGTCTCCTGAGTAGCTAGGACTATAGGCACATGCCATTATACCCAGCTAATTTTATTTTTTGTGGAGACAAGGCCTCACTATAGTGCCCAGATTGGTCTTGAATACCTGAGCTCAAGCAGTCTTCCTACCTCAGCCTCCCAGAGTGCTGGGATTACAGGCCTGAGCCACTGTGCCCTGCAAGTGTGACTCTTCTTACATGATCTTCGTTTTTAAACTCATTCCTTAGGATGTTAGAGCAATGAGTAGTCAGACTTAAATCTTTGGGGAGGAAAAAAAGTCATAACAAAGCATGATGGAGCTCAGCGCTGAGGAAAAATACGGAACTGGTGGAAACAAAACTGAAAGGAAAAATAATCAGTTTTGGCATGAAAATCCTTTGTGTGTGTTTTAATATTGGTTGTGATTCTTGTCTGTTAGGAAGTCGGCTTGGCCCTGAGGACATTATTGGCCACCGTGGATGAGACCATTCCAGTCCTACCAGCCAGCACCCACCGAGAGGTAGGGTACAGTCTCTCCCTTGCTGGGGTTGCTGACTTTACTGGGTGGGGACACCCCCAGGGATGACTGTGGTGCTGATAACAGCTCCTCAGTTCATGGTCAGCAGATACCTTAACGGCTCAGCATGAGCATGCGATGACCTTCCCACTAGCCCCAACCCCAGTCTGGCCTGGGCCTCTCACCTCAGAGCATAAGGTGGTGTGGAGCAGCAGCCACTCAGGTTCCAGATCCCAGCTGTACCATCGCCAGCCCCCTGCACAGCTGCTGTGCAGGGTCCTCTTCTGAGCCATAGGGTGGCTGTTAGCAGTGGACAAGGAAAGCCATAGGGAGCTGCTGCTGTGCTGTGATCTCAAAGGTGGAGGAATGCTGGGAGAAAGGGGGCAGGCATCATGTGCCTTCCTTGGGTCCTTGGTAAAAATAATAAGAGTTACAAGTGATCCTGATTTGCCATTTGAATTAATGATACAAGCAAAGTTGTTTTTAATTAATAAATGTATTTAAAATTTGGGGTTTTTAAAAATTTTTTTATTTTCTTCCTCAGGCAGGATAGCCACTATAAAATTTTTTTGGGAGGGGGGTTGGAGTGCAGGTGGCACGCTCATGGCCACCTCAATGTTGACCTGCTGGGCTCTGACGATCCTGCCACCTCAGCCTTCCAAGTAGCCAGAACTACAGGCATGCACTACCATGCTCGGCTAATTTTGGTTTATTATAGAGACGAGGTCTTGCCAAGTTGCCCGGCTGGTCTAGAACCCACAGGCTCAGGCAATCCACTCGCCTCAGCCTTTCAAAGTGCTGGGATTACAGGTGAGCCACCGAGCCCGACCAAAAATTATTATTATTATTATTATTTGAGTTGGAGTCTCACTCTGTCACCCAGACTGGATCAAAAATTTTTTTAAGGAATCAAAGTTTACCGAAAATACTGTCGCCCAGCAACAATCATCATTTTTGCCACCTTTTGGCAAGTTTGCTTCATTTATATGACTAACAAATGGAAGGCACCACCTGCATATTGTTTGACTGTCCCTCCAGCAGCTACAGGCTACAGGTGTGCACTCTGTCGTTGAAACTGTCCTCACAAGAGTCCAAGGCTGCAGGCCACAGCCTTGTTCCTTCCAGCTCCAGCTGCCCACCTTTTCACTCTCTCAAGCAGCATGGCAACCCTTCAGCCTAGCACCACTGTTTTGTTTGTTTGTTCTTTGCCCTTTATTTTGAAATGATTTCATGTTTACAGTAAAGTTACAAGATTAATACAAAGAATTCCTAAATTTTACCTGCCTGTTTCACGACCTTCTAACATGTCAGCATATTTGCATACCCTCCCTCCATTGCCTGTGTGTACATGCACATCACTTGCTGTTTTGGAACTGAGAGTAGACTGTGGATATCTGCCCTCTTCTCCTTTAACGTTTCAGTTTGTATTTTCTGATAACAAGGTCGTTTTCCTGTGTAACTACCATATGGTCGCCGCCTCCTGGGCCTTAACATTTTGCAGTACACTTTTCCACTCTGCAGGTCATGTTCCAGTGTCATCAGTTGTTCCCATAGTGCTTTTCCCGTGCATATAAGAGCCAGCCCAGGATCACACATCACCTGTGAAATTGCCTATTCTGTCCCTTCAGCCTCCTTTTATCTGGAACAGTTCTCAGATTGTCTTTATCTTTCATGACATTGACAGTTTTCATAAATATAGGCTTAATTATATTATAGAGTATTCTTAAAGATGAGTTGAGGGATATTCAGAAATTGATGTTTCCTCCTGATCAGTTTGAGGTTTTGCAACTTCAGTTGGGAATATGACATAAGTGGTATTGAGTCCTTCTCAGGATATTTTATCCAGAGGTACATTATGTCCAGAGGATATGCCTTTTGATGAACCATGCATTGACTCTGACCAGCTAATTTTTGTATTTTTTATAGACAGAGTCTCGCTATGTTGCCTAGGCTGACTCCAGTTCTTGGTCTCAAGTGATCCTGACTCAGTCTCCCAAAGTGCTGGGATTACAGGCATGAACTACCATACTCAGCCAGTGGCTCCTTTGTAAATGGCATCAATTCACCTGCGCAAAACCATTTAGCTTATTTTGGAAAATGCCTCTGACTGGTTGCCACAGTATAACTTTTTTTTTTTTTTTTTAGTTAGTGTTTGTTACCAACGTTGGAGTGCAGTGGCACACCCACGGCCATTGCGGCCTCCACCTTCTGAGTTCAGGTGATCCTTCTGCTTCAGCCTTCCAAGTTAGCTGGAACTACAGGCTGGTACCACCTTTGTCAGCTTATTTTTTGATTTATTGTAGAGACGAGGTCTCAGCAAGTTGCCTAGGCTACTTTAAATCTCTACCCAAATAGGGGATTAGCTAGGTTACCTTCTTCACTGGGGCTCTGGTTGGTTTTTCCATGATGAGCATCAGTTTTGCCCAAAAGTGGAGAAGTTCCATATACCAGAGGCAAAAATATAATGTTTTGACAGTGAATATTTTAGCAGGACCATTTCTCAATGCCTACTCTAAAGCCTAACGTAATCTGTCATCCCCCTAATTCCTGTACCCTGATTGCTCTCCCATATGTTATTTTTAATTATTAAATTATTATTTTTAACAAGACCCTTTCTTTGATCCTGCATCCCCCCCTCACTGCCGTCCTCCTCCCCCTACATTGCTTCCTGTACTCTTATCTCCAGAACAACTCATCTTAGCCAGGCCAGCACCTCACCTGGCAGCCACACTCAGCCCTAGCTCCAGCTGTTGGGAATTTTTCAGCGGTAACTGCCCTTCGAGGTCTCCAGAGGCCTCCTAATTGCCAGAATCCCAGCTCTTTCCTCAGTCCTTACTCCTCCTTGAAACAACCCCCGCCTGCCACCTGGGCCCAGAGCCTTCCTCACTCTTCTGCTGAGACCCCTGCCTGGGATCTTATTCTCTCCCACACTTGCTACCTACTAGTTTTCTTAAAGACTACAGTTTCACCTTAGCATTTCTCCCCACCTCCATAGACCCAGGTGTTTGATGCTTCCCAGATCTGTGTTTAGTAGGACCTCTGTCTGAATCCTGATCTCCATCTGTCTACTGGATGTCTCCCATTGGCAGGAACAATCTATCTTTCCTTGTTTGCCTCCGTAGTGAATGGCATCACCATGTGCTTGCCACTCCTGCCCCTGTCAGTTTCCTATACACACACACAAATACAAACGGTCTTACTGCTTCCATCTTTTATCAGGCTCGAGTTGATCCTCCTCATCCTCACATTTACCATCACCTTTTCCCTGAACTACCATGACAGCCTCTCAGTTGACTTATCTGCCTCTTTCTCTCCCACCCTTCCATTCGACTTCCCCCTTGCCACCAAAGCCATCTTTCTAGAACATCTCTGTAGATTGTGTCATTCCTCTTCCTAAAAATCTCTTATGCCTCCCCACTGCCAGGTTCTGCAGGCTGAAAGCCAGTTTGGCATGGCTTAATGCCCTTCACAGCTAAAGCCAGCCCGTTTTTAAAGTCTAGGCCAAATTCAAATAAATTTTCCTCTGTAAAGTCTTCCTGACCCTCTGAGTCAGACTGAGTTGCTCTCTTTTCTGTGTGTATTTCTACCATATGATTTATTCCAGTGTATTATAGGAGTTCTGTGCATGCTTCTTCCACTCTAGACTGAGTACAAACGTGCCTAATTCTTTCTTCTGTCCACAACACCAAGTGCCTTGTGCATGACAAGTACTCAATATTTGATAAAAGAGCAAATGGATAAGTCATCATTAGTTGAATAAACAGATAGGAAGGATCATGGGACTCCCTCAGGCAAAACATTCTAACCCCACAGGGCAGCATTCATGTTCTGTAGCTGCTTCTACCACTACTGCCCTGCTTCCAGCCTCTGAGGAGTTTGGAATAGTCTGGAGCTTGCACCAAGATGGGGCAAGGGTGTCCAGTGACATCCTTAGACCGTCTCTCACATGGCAAAAGAAGGTCTCAAGATAGAGCGGGTATAGTAGAAAGTACAAGACTGGAAGTCAGGACCCAGGCTTTTATCCTGACTTGGAAACATACAAAGCTTACATGACCTTCAGCAGATCACTTTATATCTCACTTGTCCACCTCTGATATGAGAGTGTTAGGACTGGATGATCTCTGAGGTCCTGTCATATTCTGTGATTCCATTACAAAACAAAAGCTCTACCAGCACTGAGATTAATAAAGTCTAAACAATGAATATAAATGGAGAGTCAGTCATGGTGTCAGGAGGGTTCTGAATGGAAGGAACAGAGACTGCTGGATCTGCGTGTATACACAGACACACACACACACACAGGCTCACTAGTAAGATTTTGTATCCTGTTGCTTCTAAGGAAGATTTATTTGAGGTAAAGAAAAGGTTTCTCCTTATGGAGGTACCTAAAGAGAGATTCATTAAAATTTCCTGAAAAGTTTATTGATGTTGAGCATGGTAGCACATGCCTGTGGTTCCAACTGCTTGGGAGGCTTATAAGGGAGGATCGCTTGAGCCCTAGAGTTGGAGTTCAGCCTGGGCAACATAGCAAGACCTCATCTCTAAAAAGAAGGAAAAAAAATGCGTTGGAAACAGCTCTCCTGACCTATCTTATGTCCTTCCAGATTGAGATGGCACAGAAACTATTGAACTCTGACCTGGGTGAGCTCATCAACAAGATGAAACTGGCCCAGCAGTACGTCATGACCAGCCTCCAGCAAGAGTACAAAAAGCAAATGCTAACTGCTGCTCATGCCCTGGCTGTGGACGCCAAAAACTTACTCGATGTCATTGACCAAGCAAGACTGAAAATGCTTGGGCAGACGAGACCGCACTGAGCCTCCCCTGGGAGCACCTCTTGCTATCCTCCTTGAAGATGTTCTCTAGCCTTCCACCAGCAGCGAGGAATTAACCCTGTGTCCTCAGTCGCCAGCACTTACAGCTCCAACTTTTTTGAGTGACATCTGGTTGAAAATATTCTCTCATAAGTTTAACCACATTTTGATTTGGGATCATTTTTTGTTTTTATCAATCATGATATTCAGAAAAGTCTGGGATCCAAAATGTGGCATTTTCTGAGAATTAAATTGTACATATGAAGCTTTTAAGAATCATGACGAATAGTTTGTGTTCACGTTAGGATATGTTCTAATGGGGATGGCCAAGGGATGACATCTTAATTCCTGAACTACCTTAGCTGCACAGTGGAAGAGGAGAGCATGAAGTGAAGAATTCCGGGAAACCCACGAGGCTGAGAATTCTTTTGACTACCGTAGAATTATTATCCAGACTGGAATTTTTGTTTGTTAGAACACCCTTCAGTTGCAATATGCTAATCCCACTTTACAAAGAAAGAATATAAAAGCTATATTTTGAAGACTTGAGTCATTTCAGAAAAAAACTACAACTCTTTTTGCCTTTCCTGCCTTTTACTTTCATGTGGAGATGTGAAGCATTTGGTTGGAAACTAGCTGTAGAACACAACTAAAAACTCTTGTCTTTTTTCACCAGAATAATGTGCCAGTTTTTTGTAGCAATGTTATTTCTCTTGGAAGCAGAAATGCTTTGTACCAGAGCACCTCCAAACTGCATTGAGAAGTTCCAGAATCATCCTGTTTTCCATTTTTATATAATTTATAAAGAAAGATTAAAGCCATGTTGACTATTTTACAGCCACTGGAGTTAACTAACCCTTCATTGTGTCTGTCTTCCCAGGAGAGAGTTAAAACAGAGGGATTTGGTTTTCTTTTGATAGCCAGTTATACCATCCATTCTGTTAAATAATTTTGAAAACTATACCCTCCCTTTAGTTTGTTGGGGGATATAAATTATTCTCAGGAAGAATATAATGAACTGTACAGTTACTTTGACCTATTAAAAAGGTGTTACCAGTAAAGTGCTTGTTGTAATATCCTTTCTTTTGGTTCTCTTTCTTCAAATCACTTAAAATTTTTCATACAACTTGTCAGATGACATACAGGAAAGCTCCCAGTAATTATCAGGAAAGCTCTCACTAATTATTAGTTTCTTTTTTTTTCTTTGTCTTCTAAACAAGTCAAGGACTATATCACAGAAGACCAGCCTAGCATTTTTATCCCATCTTCACTTATTAAATGCAAAGCTCAAGATAGGAATAATTATGTCATCTGTGAAAGAATTCCCTTTGTAGATCTTGGTATTATAATAATCCAGACTCAAGGAAGCCATTCTTACACAGTTTATTTAAGGAAATTGTTAGCTTTGGCTTCCCATACGCACTCTAGTCTTGCTAGAATCTCTGTGAACTCTAGAGCCACCAGCAAATAAAACTAGGGTCTGTGGCACTGGGGACTTAGAGTCCCATGGTCAAGGATTTAGGGACTGTTCTCCAGATGAATATACACCTTCGTGTACAAAATCAGTTTCGCCTTTGGATATATGACATTCACTTCATCTGAAGAAAATGTCAGGGGAATGTCATCCTTCTGAACTTCCTCTTATTTTCTGGCATTCTTGGAACTCTTCAGTCTCAATTTTTTTCATCTTTAAACTGTTGATTAGCCAGGCTTGGTGGCTTATGGCTTCAGTCTAATACTTTAGGAGGCTGAGGTGGGAGGATCGCTTGAGCCCAGGAGTTGGAGACCAGCGGGCAACATAGTGGGACCCCGTCTCTAAAAGTAAATGAATAAAAATAAACTGGTGATTGTGAGAACTAAATAACGTGGTCCAGTATAAATAGTAAAGTATTCAACGTACATAGTAAGGAGCTTTGGTGTGGGGGCTGTCATGTGCACTGAAATGTGTAGTAGCATCCTCGTTTTCTACCCAGTAGAAACCCTCCCAGGTGTGATGACCAAAACTGTCTCTAGGCCCTACCAAATGTTCCTGGAAGAAGGAAGGGCAGAATCACCCCGAGTTGAGGACTACTGTCTCCAAGTGAGAGTTTACTTGGAATCAATACACTTTGCTTCGTGATCTGACTTTTCAGGAAGCACCTCCCTTTCCTGTAGTACAAAGAATTGCAGGTAAGTCACACCTTCCTATAAACCAAAGAAAAAGAATGCACTTTGGTTGTGAGAGCAGGTGGAGAGACAGATATGTCAGTGCATGGACTGGAGGTCAAAGGCAAAGTGCAGCTGCCAGAGTTGAGGGCGGAGCTGGCAACCCCATGCAGAGGCCTCTCACTGCCCGTGGCATGATGGCTCCCCGGTCTGCAGGCCTCTCAGAAGGACTCTGAGGTGACTTCCATTAAAAACAGAAGGGGGGCGGTTTAATTTTTTTTTTTTTTGAGTTAGGATCTCACTCTGTCCCAGGCTGGAGTGCAGTAGCACAATCATGGCTCACCACAGCCTTGAATTCCTAGGTGCAGGCATTCTTTCTGCCCCAGCCTTCCAAGTAACTGAGACTACAGGCATGCACCACCACACCAGGCTAATTACTATTATTATTTTTTTGTAGAAACAAGGTCTCAGTATGTTGCCTAGGCTGGGCTCAAACTCCTGGGCTCAAGCAATCCTGCCTTGGCTTCCCAATGTGCTGGGATTGCAGGTGTGATCCACCACACCCAGCGCAATAGGGAGTTTCAAATTTAAAGACCAGAGAAAAGGTAATTTGAAATTACTCAACTTTATTATACTACCTTCCTGGCTCCTAGCTAACACCTATCTAATGATCAAACACATGCAGCACTTGAAAACCTGTCCAAGTTAGTTGGGAGAAGTGTCTACAGTCTCACCCTGTTTTTCTCTTACTATGTTTGGCTTAAATTATTTTAATTAAAGGGCAGTTTTTTGTTTTTGGAGTTTTTTTGAGTTGGAGTCTTACTCTGTCGCCCAGGCTGGAGTATAGTGGCACGCTCATGGCCACTGCAGCCTTGACCTGCTGAGCACAGGCGATTCTTGTGCCTCAGCCTTCCAACTAGCTGGAACTACAGGCATGTGCTAACACACCTGGCTAATTTTTTTATTTATTGTAGAGATGAGATCTCACCAATTTGCCCAGGCTGGTCTCGAACCCCTGAACCCAGGCAATCCTCTTGCCTCAGCCTCCCAAAGTGCTAGGATTACAGACTTGAGCCACCATGCCTGGCCAAGAGTAGTTTAAATAGAAAAAAAGACAATAAATATAGAGCTTACTGCATTTCTCCTGAAGGAACACCCTCTTGTAATTACACCCAGATTCAGAGAGAAAATAGTACCGTCACCTCAAAAGTCTAGGGCTTCCCCTTAGTACTCCTCCAGAAGGGCAGCTAGCACCTTGGTTTTCTTTTATCAACCATCAAGATTTAATTTACATAAAGTAAGAAATATTGAGCAGTTTGCTGATTTTTTTCAAATGTATGCATCCAGTTAGCCATCAGTGGAAGGAAGAGGAGAACGTTGCCAGCCCTCAACACCCACGCCCTTCTGGTAGTTCCTACGCCAGTCCATAACCTCTGGTCTGGTCAGTATCACTATAGATGACTTCTTACACTTCAGATGACTTCTAAAACCAAACTGTATGTACCCTCTGGCTGCTTTCACTCAGCAAGTTTTTTGCATATCCATATTGTTGCATGTGTCAGAAGTTCATTCTTTTTTATTTCCGATAATACTCATGGTATGGCTGTTTATCTGTTTCGCCTGTTGATGAATGGGATGTTCAGGTGGTTTTCAGTTTCTGGGTATTAACCAATAAAGCTGCTGAGGACGTGTATATACAGATAACATGTGTTTCCATTTCTCTTGGGCAAGTAAACTATAAGTGAAATTTCTGGGACATACGGTAAGTTGTATGTTTAGCATTACTAAGAACTGCCAAACTGCTTTCCAGTGCGGTTATGCTCCACGTTCTCACCAATGTGTGCTATTGTCAGTCATTTAGAATTTTAGACTTTCTTAATATATCTTTTGCATTAGCCATTTATATGTCTGCCCTTTTTAAAAATTGGGTTGTTTACCATTTCATTACTAAGTAGTAGGAGTTCCTTAAGTATTCCGGATACTAGTCTTTCATCAGATACTTGTTTCCCATATATTTTCTCCCAGCTTGAGACTTGGCTGTTCGTTTTCTCAACTGGACCTTAGTGCATTTTTGTCTGAAAAATTGGCAGGGGGATTGTTGTAATTGGGATTTCATTGAGTTTATCCATCAGTTTGGGGAGAACAAGCATCTTAAAAATACTGAGTCTTCAGAAACGTGAACTTTATATATATATATATATATATATATACACACACAAATATTTTTAAAAGATCTTTAGTTTCAGTAATGTGTTGATATATTTGCAGTATTTTTTCACACTGTTGAAATGAGAGAGAAAGCCAATAGATGACTTGTAAACAGAAATTCACAAAACAAAAATTTGTCCATGATCAGAATATCATGTGTACTTAGGGTTTCATACAGTTCTTTTATATTTCATTTACTGTGTTCCTGTTAAACTATCTTAATGCAGAGTGTTTCCTTAAAACCTTTTGAAAACACTACCTACCAGTTTACATTTTATATATAACTTCATGAGCAGGAACTTCAAGGCCATCAAACCAAGGTTATAGTTCTCCCCCCCCCGCCTTTT